TGCTGGAGGCGCAGGCGGCCACGGGCGGCATCATCGACCCCCACCGCAACGAGCGGCTGACGGCGGACAGCGCCGTGGCCCGGGACCTCGTCGACTTCGACGACCGGGAGCGGATCTACACGGCCGAGAAGGCCGTCACGGGCTTCGACGACCCCTTCTCGGGCAAGACCGTGTCGCTGTCCGAGGCCGTCAAGAAGAACGTCATCGACCGGGAGACCGGCCTGCGGCTGCTGGAGGCCCAGCTGGCCTCGGGCGGCGTGGTGGACCCCGTCAACAGCGTCTTCCTGCCCAAGGACGTGGCGCTGGCCCGCGGGCTGCTGGACCGCGACCTCTACCGCTGCCTCCACGACCCCCGGGACGGCCAGAAGAACTTCGTGGACCCCGTGACCCAGAAGAAGGTCAGCTACCTGCAGCTGCGCGAGCGCTGCCGCGTGGAGCCGCACACGGGGCTGCTGCTGCTGTCCGTGCAGCGCCGTAGCATGTCCTTCCAGGGCATCCGCCAGCCCGTGCCCGTCTCCGAGCTGGTCGACTCGGGCATCCTGCGGCCCTCCACCGTCAACGAGCTGGAGTCGGGCCAGATCTCCTACGACGAGGTGGGCGAGCGCATCAAGGACTTCCTGCAGGGCTCCAGCTGCATCGCCGGCATCTACAACGAGACCACCAAGCAGAAGCTGGGCATCTACGAGGCCATGAAGATCGGCCTGGTGCGCCCGGGCACCGCGCTGGAGCTGCTGGAGGCGCAGGCGGCCACGGGCTTCATCGTGGACCCCGTGAGCAACCTGCGGCTGCCCGTGGAGGAGGCCTACAAGCGGGGCCTGGTGGGCATCGAGTTCAAGGAGAAGCTGCTCTCGGCCGAGCGCGCCGTCACCGGCTACAACGACCCCGAGACGGGCGGCATCATCTCGCTCTTCCAGGCCATGAACAAGGAGCTCATCGAGAAGGGCCACGGCATCCGCCTGCTGGAGGCGCAGATCGCCACGGGCGGCATCATCGACCCCAAGGAGAGCCACCGCCTGCCCGTGGACATGGCCTACAAGCGCGGCTACTTCAACGAGGAGCTCAGCGAGATCCTGTCCGACCCCAGCGACGACACCAAGGGCTTCTTCGACCCCAACACGGAGGAGAACCTGACGTACCTGCAGCTGAAGGGGCGCTGCATCAAGGACCCCGACACGGGGCTCTGCCTGCTGCCGCTCAAGGAGAAGAAGCGGCCGCTGCAGACGTCGCAGAAGAACACGCTGCGCAAGCGCCGCGTGGTCATCGTGGACCCCGAGACCGGCAAGGAGATGTCGGTGCGGGAGGCCTACAAGAAGGGCCTCATCGACTACGACACCTTCCGGGAGCTGTGCGAGCAGGAGTGCGAGTGGGAGGAGATCACCACCACGGGCTCCGACGGCTCCACGCGCGTGGTGCTGGTGGACCGCAAGACGGGCAGCCAGTACGACGTCCAGGAGGCCATCGACAAGGGCCTGGTGGAGCGCAAGTTCTTCGAGCAGTACCGCTCGGGCGGGCTCAGCCTCACGCAGTTCGCCGACATGATCTCGCTCAAGAACGGCGGCGGCGGCGGCGGCGGCAGCAGCCTGGCGGCGGGCGACGACGTCTTCAGCTTCTCCCGCCACGAGGTGTCCTCGACGGCCTCCAGCAAGGTGGCGTCGACGTCCAGCGTGCGGAGCCTCACCATCCGCAGCAGCTCGCTGTCCGACACGCTGGAGGAGGCCGGCGGCCCCATCGCCGCCATCTTCGACACGGAGAACCTGGAGAAGATCTCGGTGACCGAGGGCATCGAGCGCGGCATCGTGGACAGCATCACCGGCCAGCGGCTGCTGGAGGCCCAGGCCTGCACCGGCGGCATCATCCACCCCACCAGCGGGCAGCGGCTGTCGCTGCAGGACGCCGTGGCCCAGGGCCTCGTCGACCCCGACATGGCCACGCGGCTGAAGCCGGCGCAGAAGGCCTTCCTGGGCTTCGAGGGCGTCAAGGGCAAGAAGAAGATGTCGGCGGCCGAGGCCGTCAAGGAGAAGTGGCTGCCCTACGAGGCCGGCCAGCGCTTCCTGGAGTTCCAGTTCCTGACGGGCGGCCTGGTGGACCCCGAGGTGCACGGCCGCATCAGCACCGAGGAGGCCATCCGCAAGGGCTTCATCGACGGCCGGGCGGCCCAGCGCCTGCGGGACACCGGCAGCTACGCCAAGATCCTCACGTGCCCCAAGACCAAGCTGAAGATCTCCTACCGCGACGCGCTGAGCCGCTGCATGGTCGAAGACGTGAGCGGGCTGCGCCTGCTCGAGGCCGCCTCCGTCTCCTCCAAGGGCCTGCCCAGCCCCTACAACATGTCCTCGGCCCCCGGCTCCCGCGCCGGCTCCCGTTCCGGTTCCCGGTCCGGCTCCCGCTCCGGCTCCCGCGCCGGCTCCCGGAGGGGAAGCTTCGACGCCTCGAGCAATTCCTCCTACTCCTACTCCTACTCCTTCAGCAGCAGCTCCATTGGGCACTAGGCCCGGGGTCTCCTGCCGGCCCCCGTTACTGCGTAGTGAGTAAGGAAGGGGAGTTGAGGGAGGGAGAGGGAGAAGGAGAGAGAGGGAGAGATGAGGGGGAAACAGAGAGAGAGAGGGAGCGAGAGGGGAACGGAGCGAGAGGAGAGGGAGGGAGAACGTAGTGCTTGCGGCGTCTAGCGGTAGAACTTCCTGCGCTTCAGAAGACAGAGCCTGGGACGATCCAGTTGCATAGGAAAAGCCTCTTCTCCTCGGCGTCCTTCCCGAGCCGAGTCCTGGGTAGGGGGTGGGGGTGGGGTGGGGTGCAGGGGGGGGTTGGGAGGGAGGGGGGTGGGTCCCGAGCAAGTCTGGCTGTTCCTTGCTTCCTCTGTTTAGATTTCTGGTAGGTGCTTCCCAGCCTCTCCGGCCTTGCCGTGCAGACCGTGCTGTTCTCGGAGCTCAAGGTCAAACGAGCGTCCCAGTCGGAGCCGTTCGCTCTCCGGGCCAGAGAACGTCTCTCCTGCGCGGCCCACGCCGGCTGTCCCCCGCCCCCCCCGCCCCACCCCTGGCTCTGCTGTCCATGGCCACGTGCTTGGCAGCGGCCACTCCTGCTCTCCTGCTCGGTTTTCCTGGACCTCTGTGAAGTTGGTGACTCTGGCAATAAACTTGCAGGTGGCAGCCGTGTCTGTGTCTGGATTCTCTACGCGTGCCCGTGGCCTCCCAGGCTGGGGGCTCCTTGCCCACCGCAGTGAGCCCGGGGCTCATGCTGGGCCCCCCCGGAAGTGCGTCTCCGATGTCCCTTGCCGACACTCGTCCATCTTGTGCAGGGCCCTGGGGCAGTGCCGGATGGTGGGCACAGGTGGACACCCGTCACAGCTTCTGATCTGATCACTCCTGTGGCCGGGGTCTCCCCGGGGCCCAGGGGCCACGTCTCTTCCCATGGAGCACAGGCAGGGACGGTACACCCGAGCTGCCCTCTGGGCTCACAAGGACCTACACCCCCACTGCATCAGGACCTCGGCGGCGGGACCTTACACGTGGGGCTACCACGCCTCCCCGTGGTCCCATCACAAAGGGGGGGTGGCCCCTGCAGTGATACGCAGAGATTCAGTGCGCAGCGGGGCTGGGGCGTTCTCCAGCTGGGACTGCACCCCGAGAGCTGCTCCCTTGAGCAGCGGGCAGAGGGGTGTCCCTGGGGTGGGGGGGCAGTGCCTCAGCCAGGCAAAGGGAACCCGGCAGCTGTTCATTCCTGCAGCCCCAGACCAGCCCGACCGTGGGGGTGCACGTGCCGCCCTCGCGGTGGGCAGATGGTGAATAAATGCAGGTGGACCCTGTCCCCCAGGCGCTGAGAGCTGCTGCCTGACCGTGAGCGAGGTCCTGCCTGCAAATGCAACCTCCGTGCCTGTGAGACAGAGGCAGGCTTTGCGGGCCCAGAGGAAACACGTGGGGGGAGGGGGGAGCTGAGGAAGCACAGGGGCTGGGTGCTCGCCTTACATGGGGTCACTGGGTTTGGCCCCTCGTTCCCAACCCGGTCCCTGAATGCAGAGCCAGGACTGGCCCCTTTGCACCGTCTCTGGCAGAGGCATCGGCACACACGGGACCACACTGCCGGAGGGTCACCTTTGGGGCGAACTTTGCAAAGGGCTGGACGGCTGCAGGTCTGGGGTGGGAAATGGTGGAGCCGGTGGGCCCATCAGAGGCAGGACAGAGGCAGCGTCTCACTGGGGCCGGGTGGGCCGTCAGCAGTCCCGAGTGCAGAGACCCGGGTGCTGAGAGCCGAGAGCCTGAGTCGGCAGCCACAGCCGGCTAGGCCTGTCCTCACAGGAGAGTCAGACGGGCTCAGGGCTCAGTGCTCTCTGGGCATCTGCCTCCAGGCGGCACCAACACCCCCACCCGCACCCCGGGCACTCGGGCTTCAAGCCCCCCCTTAGTCAGCACCCCAGAGGGGCTGTCCCGCCCACGGGGAAGCAGCAAGGCGGGGACAGACCCGCAGTGGTAGGGGGGCACAGACGGGCACACTCCGGCCTGCGCCCCCACCGCCCGCCCCCGTCCCCCCGGGCCGCGATCCTGCAGCCGGAGAGGGGAAAGGAAGGAGAGAACCTTCCAGACTCAAGGGAGCCGGTCGTGGCGCAGGGGCTGAGGAGCCCGACAGGCGGACGGGAGCTCGCGGGGCCACGCGGCGCGGAGGGTCGCCAGGGGCCAGCGGGCGGGTGCAGGGCAGCGGGCGAGGGGCGGACGGCACGGCGCCCTCCTGGCCACGTGACGCAGGCCCCGCCCCGGCCCCGCCCCGTGACGCAGGCCCCGCCCCAGTACATCACTCCGGCTCCGCCCGAGACGCAGGCCCCGCCTCAGGACACAGCTCTGGCCCCGCCCCGTGACGCAGGCCCCGCCCAGAACACTGCTCCGGCCCCGCCCCGAGACGCAGGCCCCGCCTCAGGACACCGCCCCGGCCCCGCCCCGTGACGCAGGCCCCGCCCCAGAACTTCACTCCGGCCCCGCCCCCGGCCCGGCCCGCCCCTTCCGCTTCCGCTCGCGCCTGCGCGCTGCGCGCCGGGCCGGTTCGCCATGGCGGACGCGCTGCCCGCGCTGGAGGAGCGGCGGCGGCTGCAGGCCGAGCTCGGGGACTTCGTGGACAGCTGCCGCCGCACGCTGGAGCAGGTCGCGGCGACCCTGGGCTGGAGCCTCGACCGGCTGGACTCGGAGGACGCTGCGGCGGTGCGGGCGCGCGGTGGGGCCGGCGGGGGCGGGGCGGGGGCGGGGTGCAGCGCGCGGGGCCCCGGGATGCGGGGCGGGGGTGCAGGGTCGTCCTGGGGTGCAGGGCCCCGGGTCGGGGTGCAGCGCGCAGGGTAGGGGTGCGGGGCCCCGGGGCCGGGAGCAGAGCCCAGAGCGGGGGTGCAGAGCTCCGGGTGGGGATGCAGAGCCCTGAGGTGCAGAGCCCCGGGTTGGGGTGCAGAGTGCAGGGCCCCGGGATGTGGGGTGGGGGGTAGGCCCTGGGTTGGGGTGCAGCGCGCAGGGTAGGGGTGCGGGGCCCCGGGGCCGGGTGCAGAGCCCAGAGCGGGGGTGCAGAGCTCCGGGTGGGGATGCAGAGCCCTGGGGTGCAGAGCCCCGGGTTGGGGTGCAGAGTGCAGGGCCCCGGGATGTGGGGTGGGGGGTAGGCCCTGGGTCGGGGTGCAGCGCGCAGGGTAGGGGTGCGGGGCCCCGGGGCCGGGAGCAGAGCCCAGAGCGGGGGTGCAGAGCTCCGGGTGGGGATGCAGAGCCCTGGGGTGCAGAGCCCCGGGTTGGGGTGCAGAGTGCAGGGCCCCGGGATGTGGGGTGGGGGGTAGGCCCTGGGTCGGGGTGCAGCGCGCAGGGTAGGGGTGCGGGGCCCCGGGGCCGGGTGCAGAGCCCAGAGCGGGGGTGCAGAGCTCCGGGTGGGGATGCAGAGCCCTGAGGTGCAGAGCCCCGGGTTGGGGTGCAGAGTGCAGGGCCCCGGGATGTGGGGTGGGGGTAGGCCCTGGGTCGGGGTGCAGCGCGCAGGGTAGGGGTGCGGGGCCCCGGGGCCGGGAGCAGAGCCCAGAGCGGGGGTGCAGAGCTCCGGGTGGGGATGCAGAGCCCTGGGGTGCAGAGCCCCGGGTTGGGGTGCGGAGTGCAGGGCCCCGGGATGTGGGGTGGGGGGTAGGCCCTGGGTCGGGGTGCAGCGCGTAGGGTAGGGGTGCGGGGCCCCGGGGCCGGGAGCAGAGCCCAGAGCGGGGGTGCAGAGCTCCGGGTGGGGATGCAGAGCCCTGGGGTGCAGAGCCCCGGGTTGGGGTGCGGAGTGCAGGGCCCCGGGATGTGGGGTGGGGGGTAGGCCCTGGGTCGGGGTGCAGCGCGCAGGGTAGGGGTGCGGGGCCCCGGGGCCGGGAGCAGAGCCCAGAGCGGGGGTGCAGAGCTCCGGGTGGGGATGCAGAGCCCTGGGGTGCAGAGCCCCGGGTTGGGGTGCGGAGTGCAGGGCCCCGGGATGTGGGGTGGGGGGTAGGCCCTGGGTCGGGGTGCAGCACGCAGGGTAGGGGTGCGGGGCCCCGGGGCCGGGAGCAGAGCCCAGAGCGGGGGTGCAGAGCTCCGGGTGGGGATGCAGAGCCCTGGGGTGCAGAGCCCCGGGTTGGGGTGCGGAGTGCAGGGCCCCGGGATGTGGGGTGGGGGGTAGGCCCTGGGTCGGGGTGCAGCGCGCAGGGTAGGGGTGCGGGGCCCCGGGGCCGGGAGCAGAGCCCAGAGCGGGGGTGCAGAGCTCCGGGTGGGGATGCAGAGCCCTGGGGTGCAGAGCCCCGGGTTGGGGTGCGGAGTGCAGGGCCCCGGGATGTGGGGTGGGGGGTAGGCCCTGGGTCGGGGTGCAGCACGCAGGGTAGGGGTGCGGGGCCCCGAGGCCGGGAGCAGAGCCCAGAGCGGGGGTGCAGAGCTCCGGGTGGGGATGCAGAGCCCTGGGGTGCAGAGCCCCGGGTTGGGGTGCAGAGTGCAGGGCCCCGGGATGTGGGGTGGGGGGTAGGCCCTGGGTCAGGGTGCAGCGCGCAGGGTAGGGGTGCGGGGCCCTGGGGCCGGGTGCAGAGCCCAGAGCGGGGGTGCAGAGCTCCGGGTGGGGATGCAGAGCCCTGAGGTGCAGAGCCCCGGGTTGGGGTGCGGAGCGCAGGGCCCCCGGGTGGGTGCAGAGCACTGGGGTGGGGGTGGAGGTGCAGAGTCCTGGGGTGCAGGGCTCCGGGGTGGGCGTGCAGAGTGCCGGGGTCAGGGTGCAGGGCCCTGGGATGTGGGGTGGGGGGTAGGCCCTGGGTCGGGGTGCAGAGCGCAGGGCCCCCGGGTCGGGGTACGGGGCCCCGGGGTGCAGGGCCCCGGGTCGGGGGCGGGGCGGGGGTGGTTTGCGGGGCCTCTGTTCCAGCCGCAGCCCAGGAAGGCAGGATCTCTGCTCCCCACTGCCACCCCCGTTTTTGGGTCTTGCTTGCAGGACGCAGCTCTGACCCCCCCCCCCCCCCATGCCCGTCCACTGTCGCCTGGGCCTGGCTTTGTTCCTTTTGGCCAGGGACAGTGAGGCAGGGCCAAGGAGGGACTCGGCAGCGGTCTCAGCCGCAGCACTGGCCCCGGCTGCGTGTCTTCACCTGCGTGTCGGGGGTGCCTGGCTCGCCCTGGCCGAGGCTGTGGGAAGGTTCAGGGGCTGGGGGCTGGGGTGCTGCCGGGTCCCTGGGGAAGCGGAATGGGGGTCCGGAGAGGGAAGGGGAGGGGCCGGATGGTCACTGCCCGGTCCCTGCTGTCCTTGCAGGAGCTCGTGGTGTGCCCGCTGGACCCCAACCACCACATGCCCCAGACGTCGCTGGCCAAGCACGTGGCGTCCTGCCGGCTGCGGAAGCTGGGCTACTCGCAGGAGGAGGAGGTGTGCTCGCAGGCCGGGCCGGGCGGGCTGGGGGGAGCCTGGGCTCAGCCCGGAAACCAGCGTTCGGAGGGTTGTGACGGGAAGCCTGTCGTTCGTCAGGGAGCTGTAGCCCGAGCTGGCGGATCCGATCGACTACCCTGAAGTTCCAGAGGATTCTCCCCTGTTGTTGGCCTTTGTAGGATGTGTCAGGATCGCTCATCTTTTTTTTTTTCCTTTTTTAGGAAAAAATGTATGATTCTGAATTTTTCTACGAGAACGCGAACGTCCCTTCAGTTACTCTCAGTAAGTATCTGTAGATTGGTGCATAAACATTTGTGCAGGAGTTGATTCTTCGCTTGTGAACCACTATGGGTCGAGCTCTGTAGGGGTGTGTGTGTGTGTGTGTGTGTGTGTGTCTGTTCGTCTGTCCGGATGGATGGTGCCCGTCATGCTGTGAGGGGATGAGGTGAGTGGCAGTAGCTTGAAACCAGCCGGGACATCTGAGTGTTGGTCCCGGCTCAGGTATTTGGGCAGCATGAGTCTGTGGGCACTATGGCCATGTCCACCTCAGCCTGGCAGAGTGAGCCCCGCCTGGCGGGTGAGTGGCCTGTGCGTCTCGGCGCTGGAAGGCCCGGGTGCTCTCTGCAGGGCCAACGCGCCCGTCTCCAGCGTCGTGGCTGGGCCCTGTCCAGGGACAGCCGTGGGTCGGTGCGGCCGACAGCCCCTGGCCTTGCCGACCTGTGAGGAGCGCTGCCTTTCCCGTCCCGGAGGCGGGTGCCCGAGCTGCTGGGCCCAGCTGAGGGGAGGGCGTGGGGGCTGCCCGGGCGTGTCCTCTGCTGGCCCCCTGGGCCCTGGTCCGAGAGACGGCCCTCACGGCCCCTGTGTCTCTTCTCTCGGCAGATAAGGACCTGCAGTTCCAGGTCATCGAGCAGGCTCGAGCCGCGGCCGGGAAGGATGGTGGCTGTGGGCAGCAGAGTGAGTGGCCGCGCGGGCTCAGCTGATTGACGGACCCGCCTGCCTTTCTCCCGGGAGCTCGTGGCAGAGAAAGGTCTCGCTCCCAAGGGAAATCTCAGGACGGCGGTCATTTCTCGGACAGACTCGTGGGGTGACACGTCTGTACAGCTCAGGCGCCCCCAGTCCTGCTGTCCCTCTCCTCGCCTGCACAGCCCCCGTGATCACACGCGTGCGCCGTGGGCAACCTCACACATGTGCCACGCACAGACCCACATGCGCCACGCACACCCCACGCGCAGGCGCATGCCGGCTCCCCTTCACGCAGGTCCCTAGGCCCGGGGTGGGGGTGGGGGGGCTCTAGGGAGAGGAGAGAGAACCAGCCCGAGCAGGCCCCAAGTCCCAGCCCCTCGGGGACCCTGTGTCTCCGTATCAGGCCCTGACCCCTCGCCCGCCACATTGGGCCCTGGCAGACCAGGGCCAGGCTCTGCGCTGTGAGTGACAGTCCGGTACGACCGCTCCTGCCCAGGTGGCCCGGGGCACGTCTCTCCCTGCTCCCACCCGCTTGTCTCTCTGCTCTCGGGGTTCAGAGCTCCGCGGCACCAGGCTCCAGCCTGGCTCTGGGCTGCTGACCCCGAGGCCTGTGCCCGCGACTTCCCAGTGGCAGCGGTGACCGCCTCCCTCCCTCCCTGGCAGGTGTCTGCGGGGGCGGTCTGTTGGGCCTCACCTGCTCCTGCCCTTGGCCTGGCTGGTCTGGTAGAGCCCAGATGGTGCGGCGGCCTCCTGGGGGCCCCGAGGCACTTGGAGACTGCGGTTTGGGGGTGTTGGTGTGAGGCCACCCCTGTCTTGTGCTCTCCCGGAGAGGGTCCCCTGTGTGTTTGCCTCTGGGCTCAGGGGTGCAAGTGTGCCCGTTTGGAAATACTCCCGGGGGGCTTCTAGACATGGAGAAGGGACTCGTGGCACTGAGCGTGGCGCAGACTTAGCGATGGTTTGGGTCGTGAAGTTTATGCCAGGGATCCTCGGCCATCATGCAAAAAGCTAAAGAAACACTGTTGAGGATGATCCTGGAATTTGGGTTTCCCTCTAAAGCCTGCTGGAGTTTGCATTGGATATGCGCCTGCTGTGGAAGTGCCCTCGGCCAGAGCGTGGGCGGTTTTTGTGCGAGCAGGTTGTGTGACTTACTCTGCAGCCGTTGGGGTGTGAGGTGGTGGGACCCTGGAAGCGTCCTCCCTTAGGGACACGTGTCCTTTGACAGACAACTTTCTTGGAAAGGGGCTCAGATTTCTGAGCCTTGCTTTAATAGCTGTCACGACATCGTAATCTTGGTTTGGGATTTTAGTTGCGTTTTCAGGAGGAAACATCAGCTCAGAACGCTCCCTAGTGCCTCCTGGAGGAGGAGTCGTGTTTCTCCCTTAGGAGTAGCCGGCGGGGGTGGGAGCTCGCGGTGCAGAGGGGCTTCTGCCTCCTCCCTGCCCCGAGCCGCCGGGCTCGCCAGGCCGGCTCACGTCCTACTTCGATGGTGGAGCAGCCGCTTTCACGGGGCCTCGGAGGGAGAGAGCCGGGAGGGGCCTCCTCCTGGCCCAGAGCTTCCACGGGCACAGATGGGCCGGCCCCGGCCCCACCTCCCTGCCGAGTTCATTCCTGCGCTCGGGGCTCGCGCTGCTCAGTGAGGACCCGGGGCGGCCTTGTTCTTGGCCCGCAGCAGTGGACATGGAGTCTAGAAAGAGCATCTTGAGTTTGCAGTTACTGTCCTCTGAGGTTCCTTTGAGAAAATTCGAGTCACAAAATTCCTTTGGGGTTGAATATGCCACCTCAGCCTATTTGTGTTCATGTATTTTTGTTCTCGAGCGAAAGTTAGAACCTCGTGTGGCTCCGGGCTCGGTGCTCTGGGCCCTTCTTCCCGCCCAGACCCCGTTCCTGTAGGCCTTGTGCTGGGGTCTACACGGTCAGCCTGGCGCGGCGGGTACCGGCCTCAGCGCCCCGGCGTGGTCTGTCGCACCTCTCTCCCGCACTCGGGGCCAGCCAGACCCCTGCAGAGTTCCCTGGGTGAGGGGGCGAGGGCCCACAGCGCCTCCTGGGCGGGGCCCCTCGCGGGTGCGTGGGGTCAGGTGTGAGCGTGCAGACCCAGAGCATCGCTTGTTCCTGTTCCCCTCGGGGACACAGGGACTCCCTCCTCGCTGCCTGCCGAGGTCCCCCTGAACCACAAGCGCTGCGTGTGTGACCTCACCCAAGCTGACCGCCTCGCCCTCTACGACTTCGTGGTCGAGGAGACCAAGAAGAGGCGCTCGGGCTCCCAGATCTCGGGGAACGACAGCGACCTCTTCGTCGACTTGGCCGCCAAGGTCAACCAAGGTCTGTGGCGTCCTGGGCCTGGGGCCCGTGGGTGTGGGCCGCGCTGCCGGACGCCGGCCTCAGAGCTGACCCTCTCCGCCCAGATACCAGCCGGAAGAGCCCCAAGTCCTACCTGGAGCTCCTGGCCGAGGTGCGGGACTACAAGCGCCGACGGCAGTCCTACCGGGCCAAGAACGTGCACATCACCAAGAAGTCCTACACCGAGGTGCGCCGGGGCCCGGGCTCTCCGCGTGGGTCTCCGCCTGGGTCCCGGGTCCCTCCACTGGTTCCCCAGTGACACGCGCGGGCCACGCACTGGCCCGGGAGTGCCCTGCCGGCCAGGTTCCTGCTGGGGGTCGGGTTCCCGCTGGGGGTCGGGTTCCCGCTGGGGGTCGGGTTCCTGCCGGGGGTCGGGGGCCGGCTCTGAGCGCCCCGTCCTGCAGGTGATCCGGGACGTGATCGAGGTGCACATGGAGGAGCTGGGCCGGCACTGGCAGGAGGAGCAGCAGGCAGAGGAGGACGCGGGCAGGTGATGGCCGGCACGGCGGGGGCAGTGGGGGAGCAGGTGCGCGGCCGGCACTGACCGTGTCCCCCGGCGTCCAGGAGTGAAGGGCGGCGCTCAGCCTCGGTGGGCTCGCGGCCGTCGGGCGGGAGCGACGCGGAGGCCGAGGGCTCGGGGCACCGGAGGAACCGCAGCCGCAGCCCAGCCCGGCGGAAGCGGGCGCGGGAGAAGGACAAGAGCCGCGACGCCTCCCGGAGGAGGAAGGACAGGTGCGAGGGCCCCCGCCCCTTCCCGTGCTGACCCACCCGCCCCCGGCAGCGCTGGAGGGGCAGGTGCCGGGCAGGGCCACGTGGCCTCAGCCACACTGACCCTCCTGGGATCCGCCGGCCCGGGGCTGGGCCTCCCGGGCCCCTGCACTGTGGGCAGCCCCCCACCCCCACCCCGCCCGGTCCCTCGGTGCCTCCACACTGCCCTGTGGCCGTGGGGCCTGGTGTGGTTGTGCCCGGGCCCTTCGCAGTGGCTGCGGCCTGGCCTCAGCCCCGCCCTCCCCCCTGCCTGCGTGTGGTGGGCTCGGACTGAGCACGAACACGCAGCTAGCAGAGGCTGGGACCGGCCACTTCGCCCTCCTTGTCCCCGTGTCTGTCGTCCCTCTGGTCACGCCCATCTCCGTGGTCACTCCCAGGTGACTTCCCCGGTCCTGTTCTCTGCTGACCGTCCTCCTCCCTGTCTCTCTTCCTGCTGCAGGGACGGGGAGCGACACCACAGTCACAAGAGGAGGAAGCAGAAGGCGTGAGCGGGCCCGGGGGTGGGCGGCCCCGGCCCTGCTCGGACCCCAACCCTGCCCGCGCGGGGAGGGCCACTTCCTGCTAAGAATCTGGTTTCTGGGGTTCGATGCGTGTGTTGAAGGTTCTTTGGGCGCCAGGACTGAAGTCACGGACGGCTGCGGCCTGTGGGTCACCGCTCCCAGCCCCCCACCCCGGGAGGACGCTGCCCCTCCGCCCCCTCCGGGGCCTGCAGTGCCCCGCCCCCGCATGTCCCCCCCACCCACACACACAGGCCGTGTGCCGGCCCCGCCGGCCCCCGCTCTGAACGTGGGGTCCTGCCCTCCGCCCCCTGCCACGTTTGCTTCCCTACTGCTGGGGACAGACCCACCAGGAGATGCCTGTCTGTGCCACCTCCTCCCGGCAGACCTCTGGCCAGGTGTGTGGAAGGGGAGGGAGTTGGGGGACGCTCGGGCCCAACCAAAGGCAGAGGCCAGTGCCCTGTGGCCAGTCCAAGGCCCTTCTGGTGCGTGTCCGGGCAGCTCTGTGCTGCCGCCTCCTGGCCGCAAGTGCAGCCCTGATGGCCAGTCTCCTTGTGTCCCTGCCCCTCGCCCCGGCCCGCCCCTCGGGTCGCACCTCTCCTCGGCCCAGTGTCTGACCTGGACCCGACCCTGGAGCATAGGGCACCTCTGCCCAGGATTGTGCGCTGGCCAGCCAGGCTGCTGCCCAGATGTCTGGCCCTCGAAGGCCCCCTGCAGCCGCTCACAGGGCTTGGGTCTCCGGCATGCCCTTGTCCTCGTGCCCACTTGGGTCACACGTACTCACTGGGGGTGTCAGACCGCCCCCTCAGGGTCCTGCCCTGAGCACCGGCTTGTAGGGTCGGGAGCGGGGCCCTTCCTTGGGGCTACTGCAGGCCTGTGGGGGCCAGTCGAGCCCCCACAGCCTCAGGGTTCTCGGGCCCGGCTGGCCAGGCCGAAGGTTCTGCTGCCTTGGGCCCCTGGGGCGTGCCCAGAGCTCATGATGCAGGCACATCCATCCATGTGCCGGGCACGACCCTCTGGGAGACATGCCCCTTGGGTCAGGGGGGCCTGGGCCACAGGGGTGAGGGTGGCAGGGGCCCGGCCCAGTGGTGTGTGCAAGCCCATTCCGAGCTCAGTCTGGCCAGGCCGGGTTTGCGGAGCGGGGAGGCTCCAGGAATAGTTCGTGTGACCACCCAGGAGTGACCAGGGGCCAGCAACCTCACGTTTCCCAGAAGGTCTCAGCCTGGGCAAGATCCTTCCCAGTCCTGCTCGGTGGGTGGGAACCTCCTTTGGATTATTCCCGGGAGCACGGACGCTTCCGGAGCGCCCTGGAACCACGCGCGAATCAGACCGGCCTCCCATTCGCAGGTGTGTGTGGGGCCTGGCCCCACGGCCCCTCGGAAGCCCCAGGCAGCCCTGGAGGCCTCACCCTGGCCTCCCCGTTCTCAGAGGGCTCCTCAGCTGCACCGTGAGGCCTGGGGAGGGAGGCCTGGGTGGCCACAGCAGTTGCCTGGGCAGGACACAGGAGAGATCTGTTAGCCCCGTCGTGACACAGGTGTGTGAGCACATGTGCATCTGCATGAGGGTGCTCACATGAGTGTGCGCAATGCATGTTCACGTGTTCCCTGTGTGAGTGCGCACACGTTCCCACCTGAAGCACTTGTCCACGCGGAGCGTGTGAGCACTCGTGTCCGCATTGAGCGTGTGGGTGCACACGTGTCCATGCGCGTGCCCAGCCTCGCGTGTGCACGGCCTCCCACGGATGAGACGTCCCTCCCCACCCTCCCGGGTCGAATCCTCAGGGTCTGTTTCCCCCAGAAGGAGGGAAGCCGGGGGCAGCCTCCGCCGGGCAGGTGGTCAGGTCTGTCTCCAGCCTCTTCCCGGGCAGGCAGCACCCCCTGACCAGGGCTGCCCCTGCCACCTTGTTCTGTCGCCCTTGGGTGGGGCAGAGCTGTCGAGGGGCTTCAGTCCTCGTGGCCACTGCGGACCCAGGCTGGGGGCAGTGGAAGGCGCCCGTGGGCCCCTTTGGCCAAGCAGCCCCTGGGGCCTCTGCAGTTGCCTGGTGGCTTCTGCCTGGGGCACTGTGGGGCTCTGGCTGCCGTGCCTGGGGGGGTCTCAAGCCAGCCTCTGCGGGCCAGCCTGTACCTGCCAGCAACCGTCCGGCCCGTGTGTCCAGCCCGGCTGTGTCCCTAGCAGATGGCACAGGCCCACGGTGCCCCACCCAGAGCTGGGCCCAGAAGCAGCGCCCTAGGGCAGGTGCCCGCAGCCTCAGCAGGATGGCTCACTGCCGCGCTGCCCGGCCAGGCTCCCTCTGCCCGCTGTGTGCCCCCGACGCCTGGGCCCTGGCCCGACTGCGTGGGTGTTCCCCGTCTGTCAGCCCAGCCACGCCTGTCCCCAGGACACTGGCGGTGAACGGTGCCCGGGGCCTTCCCCGGCGGGGCCTGGGGCAGACAGGGAGGCCCCCGCGCTCCTGTGCCCGTGAGTCACGTCTGCCTGGCGCTGGCCGTCTGCTGACCACGGCTCTGCCTGTGCCCGCCGCGTGCTCAAGAGGCAGCTGCCCGCACCCACCCCCCTGGACGGGCAGGGGCACAGCGCCACCCGACCCCCACTTCTGCGGGGCAGCCAGGCTGGGGTGGGTCCCTATCCCAGGGCGGCCGTGCCAGTGGACAGGGGCTCTGGGTGGGGTTTTCCTTCGGGCCCTGAAGGCAGGCAGGCAGGCAGGACACACCTCACAAAAACAAGTGACACATTTCACTCGGCATGACCCAGCCCAGGAAAAAGTGACTGCGGGCGCGAGTTTAGCACAGCCCGTCCAGAGTCGCCCAGAACTCGAGGAAATGAGCTGCCCTGAGCCGGGCGGCAGGGACAGGGACACGGGGTCAGCGTGGAGGCCACGGGGGCGGGGGGCGGCCATGGGAGGGGGTCTGTGGAGTAGTGTGGAGGCCACTGGCGGGGGCTCAGGGGTCCCTCCTGCCTCTGCACTCGGGAATCACTCCCGACAGTGCTCGGGGACCTATTGGGGTGCGGGGATGAGCCCGGCTTGACCTCGTGCCGGGCGCGCACCCTCCCTGTTTTACTGTTCCCTTCTGTTGACTCCTTATTTTTAACTCTTTCAACTGAGTCACGGTGAGACACAGTCACCAAGCTGCTCACGACCGGGGTTCTCGTCCACGTTCTTCGTTTCCAGCGGCCGTGATCTTTCCGAGTCACTCGGCCCCTCTTGGAGCTTCGCTGCTCCTGGGCTCACAAACACCCTCGGGTGAAGGAGGGCTGTGTCGGGTGTGGAGGGGGGGAACTGGCGGCTTCCCCATGCTCCTGCTGGGGGCACCAGTGAGCCTGGAGTCCGTCTGTCCGGGGCCAGTCTTGCCTGGGCAGGGGGCGGGCCAGGAGGGGCTTTGCCCTGTTGGGGTCACAGGTGGGGCCGGGGCGCACGGACCTTTGCGGGGCCTTTGCACGGACACTCCCTGGCCCCACTTGCTCCTGCGTTGCCAGTTTTTCATGTCATTTTGCCCATCGCCCACTTTAGGGAGGACAGCCCAGCCTGCAGGCCAGGGGGACCCCACAAGCAGGGGCTGAGGCACTTGTCCTGCACGTGGCTGACCCCAGTCCCACCCACAGGGCTGCGGGGTCCCTGAGGCATGCTTGGAGTGACCAAGGCCCCAAGGAGGGGCCGCTGAGTACCGCCTGGCGTGACCCCCAGCCAGCAAAGCGCGAGACAAGGGTGGATTGGGGGTGAACCCCAAGACCTCGGCGGGGGGAGCCGGACTCAGGCTGAGCTGCCCGGCCCCACCCTGACCCCTGCGAGCAAGGGAACTCCACTTTCTCCGAAACCTGTGCAAGTCACCGTGAAGGTTCTTGGAAGCCGACTCTTCCCCTCCCCAGATGCTCTGCTGTGGGAACCCCGATGAGCCTGGCATGGTAATCAGGCATCCTGCAGGGACCGGGCACCGCTGATGCCTGAGCACAGCCCACAGGGGAGGGGAGCACCACTGATGCCCGAGCACAGCCCACACTGACCCCATTTTATATTCCAACCGCGGCCGCCGTAAATACCAGAGCAAATATTTATCGAGGACCTGGATGGTGCCAGAGTCCACCCGGCCATGTGGGTGTGTGTGGCAGGGACCAGGGGCAGGAGGGCAGCCCTGTGGTCAGCAGCGGGCAAGGGCGGCCAGAAACAAGTTCCAGAATATTCCAGTACGCTGCCTCTCGGGAGGGCCCGTCCCAGCATGGGGGAGGGGGCAGGGCAGGGAGGGATGGAGTCACGAGCCCCCGCACCCTGTTCCTCGGTGGGGGGCCGCGGAGGGTCTGGGATGGTGAGGCTGGACCCAGCCAAGCACGCCCCCCACACCCACGTCGGAGCTCAGGCAGGCGCAGGGAGGCCTGGGCGCCCTTCAAAGGGTCTGACCCGCCCTGGTCACCTGAGCTGGTAGAACAGGGGAGGGTCACAGGAACAAAGTGAACCGGGCAGGAGCTCAGGATGGCAGGTCTGGGGCCGTTGCCCAACTTCTACTTAGCACCCGCCAGATGGGTGAGTGGTCAGTGCCGGGCAGGGCCAGCCAGGACCAGACAGGCCAAGCAAGCTGGGGGTGTGTGGGGACCTCGGGCCACTGGCCAGACTGGCCCCCTTCCCCCCAGCACTGGCTTGCCCTGACCGGCTGTGCCTGGTCCTGGCTGGTATCCTGAGCGGGTCCTGGGCTGCCCCCAGGGCTGCCCGGTGTGTCCCCAACCGGAGGTGCCACCACGGGCTGGTGCCAGGAGGCAGAGTGTCCCAGGAGCTGGCACACGCTCCCTCCCTGGGACAGCTGCCTCAGGTCCCTCTGTGGGGTCACTGGCCTCAGGACCATGAGTCTCTTGGCCCGAGGCGCCTGTGGGTGTTGAGACGTGGCGGTGGGCACAGACTGCCCGACTGCCCCCCCGGAGACCCGGGATAGAGAGCCTGGGGATTCGCACTCAGCTCCCGAATCAGGACTCGGGCTCAGCCGCCCCGGGCAGCAGGGCCGAATCTGTCACCATGGCGAGCCCTGGGGTGGGGTGGGGTGGGGGCTGCTTGCAGCCCCGGAGGG